CAAGGAAGGTCGTAAAGCGGGGCAAAATTTAATTAACGAACGTCTCCCTGAGTCGTGCCCTGTTTCACGACCTGTTTTCCCGCGGTCGTCAAGGGAATCGCGGAATTTGTTAAGTGAACCGTGCAGTCGTTAAGCAGGTCTGCTTTGCCCCGTCGACTTTGTCAGCTCCTCCCAAGGAGTTGGATTGACAAATGACAATCCCAGGACGTTGAGGGGCTGCAACCAGGCGTAAGTACATGCCAGTTGCCAAGCAGCTGAAGTTTGATCATGTGACCATGGGGTGGGGGGGGGAAGATGCTGCAACGGTCATATGCGTGAAACCTGGCCGTAAGACACTTTTCCCAGTGCTGTTGTAACGTTGAACGTCACTAAATGAACACTTTGCAAGCGGGAGGACTTCCTGCCTTTGTTATTCCTTGCTTGGAATTGTAAGTTTTCACCCTGTGTTAGGGTCTCTACGGAGATGGAGGGCCCTACGGATTGCATGAATAATAACAAGTAATGATGGAGATGGATCGGAGTAGGAGCTGACGTCCAGTCCTGTGGGAATAAGGCTTCCATTCGGCATTATTAAAATTTGTTCACGGTTTTCCTGGCCGAGCCTTATCGCAAAGGAGAATGCCATTTCTAAAACGTCATTAGTTTAATTCGGAAAACTGTCAGTCATTTCCTGAAGGGCTCTGAACTGCTCAGGGCCTCATAATAAGACTCTGAAGTTCAGTTAAAAAATGGAAGGTGCTCACACTGGGATAAGGTTAAACTTTACGGTTCTTCACGAGAAATTTACTTCTAGGCCCGCTTCAGGCATGAAAGCCAACTGGGTGACTTTGGGCCAATCACCAGGAGACGGAGAGTTCTAATCCCGCCTTAGCCAGAAAAACCGGCTGGGTGACTTTGGACCAGTTACCAGGAAACAGAGAGTTCTAGTCCCACCTTAGGCATGAAAGGTAGCTGGGTGATTCTGGGCCAATCACCAAGAGACGGTGAATTCTAGTCCTGCCTTAGGCATGAAAGCCAACTGGGTGACTGGTCCAATCATCAGGAGACTCCAGGTTCAAGTCCTGCCTTAGGCATGAAAGCCAGCTGGATGACTCTGGGCCAATCACTAGGAGAAGTAAGTTCTAGTCCCGCCTTAGGCATGAAAGCCAGCTGGATGACTCTGGGCCAATCACTAGGAGAGGTGAGTTCTAGTCCCGCCTTAGGCATGAAAGCCAGCTGGATGACTTTGGGCCAATCACCAGGAGAAGTGAGTTCTAGTCCCGCCTTAGGCATGAAAGCCAGCTGGATGACTCTGGGCCAATCACTAGGAGAAGTGAGTTCTAGTCCCACCTTAGGCATGAAAGCCAGCTGGATGACTTTGGGCCAATCACCAGGAGAAGTGAGTTCTAGTCCCGCCTTAGGCATGAAAGCCAGCTGGATGACTCTGGGCCAATCACTAGGAGAAGTGAGTTCTAGTCCCACCTTAGGCATGAAAGCCAGCTGGATGACTTTGGGCCAATCACCAGGAGAAGTGAGTTCTAGTCCTGTCTTAGGCATGAAAACCAACTGGGTGACTTTGGGCCAATCAATCACCAGGAGACGCTGAATTCTAATCCCGCCTCAGCCAGAAAAACCAGCTGGATTCACTTAACAATCGTATTACTAACTTAACAACTGCAGGGATTCACTTAACAACTGTGGGAAGAAAGGTCGTAAAATGGATCAAAACTCACTTAACAAATGCCTTGCTTAGCAACAGAAAGTTTGGATCCAGTTGTCGTAAGTCGAGGATTACCTTTCCTTAAAAAAAGAAGGGTTCCCTTTTGGAAAAACGAGGGACTCTGAGAACAGACTTGAAATTTATCAGATGTCTGCAAGGCCGGTTTATATTCCGTTCTGATTTGGGCAAGGCCCAGGTTTGGAATAAAACGACAACAGATTATTATTTTCCATTCGCTGCTGGCTGTCGAGGGGATAGGAAAGAACTAAAAGGGAAGATCTGGATACGTTTAGCCTGCAGCATTCTGTTTGCTGCAGGGAAATAATTAACTGGATATATACCAGTTAAGACGGAATATTATTTTGCCCAAAGGTAATTTTATATTGCTCAAAATTATTTTGTCCAAAATTATTTTGCCCCAAAAAGTAAAGTTCTACATTTAGGCAAGAAAAACCAAATGTACAGGTGTAATATAGTGGTACCTTGCTCAGTAGTAGTAACTGTGAGAGGGATCTTAGAGTCCTAGTGGACAATCTCTTAGATATGAGCCAGCCGTGTGCTACAGCTGCCTAAAAAGCCAACACACTGCTAGGCTGCATTAACAGAGGGATAGAATCAAGACCACGTGAAGGGTTAATACCACTTTACAAGGCCTTGGTAAGGCCACACTTGGAATATTGCATCTAGTTTTGGTCACCACGATGTAAAAAGGGTGTTGAGACTCTAGAAAGAGTACAGAGAAGAGCAACAAAGATGATTAGGGGACTGGAGGCTAAAACATATAAGGAACGGTTGCTGGAATTGGGTACGTCTAGTTTAATGAAGAGAAGGATGAGGGGGGACATGATAGCAGCGTTCCAGTATCTCAGGGGCTGCCCCAAAGAAGAGGGAGTCAAGCCTGAAGCCTTGTCAAGGAAATGAGAACAGGTGTGGATTTGAAGCAGACGTTCCCATCACAAAGTGAACTTGTTGATATGAATTACGTAAGACATTGCGAGTTTGGCTGGGAAAATTATTGTTTAAATTCTATGAATTGGTGCTGAAACCTCAGAGTTAGTTTTGCTTCCACATAACCATGCAGTGTATTCAACAAACAGTAAGATTTTCGGAGACGAATGAACCTGGTGTTTTATTTGTATTCTCGAGCTGGATGTTGATAAGCGGTTGCATCTTAGCAGTAATTCGACTTTAGGGCATTAAGTAGCCGTGTGCACCCTCGAGAAATATTGGCGCCTGGTCCTCCAGGCTTCCTGTCAGCTGCTACCTCACACTTATTGCTTCTGCTTCATTACCATGTGGTGACGGTCTGCCGCGGGCCCTGGGGAGGATGGATGGGAGACAGAATGCTTGACGGGAAAGCGGAAGTTTTAACGGCTGTATTTCCCTGAGATGCTGCTTCAAGGGCATCCAGCTGAGAGAAGAACACAGTTACACACCAATGAATGCTTGACTGTTTTAAAAACTTCCTGTTTGAACCTTTTTGGCTATGCAGTACACTCGACTTTAATAAAACTATACCTTTCTCAACCAATGGAGCCATGGATCGTATCTATTTAGAGGTTTGAGCGCTGACATTTCCCATAAGAGAGAGACAGAAAAATGGGCAGAATGCAATATACTTGTAATAAACTGTTATTTGCTTAAAATAATCCAAGACCAGCCAGCCATATTACACACCAGACTTCTTTTTTACTCAGATGTCTAGATGCGCAGAGATGGAAAATCCTAGAATTGTTTTGAGGGGAATAAATTTGAGTAAGGCTAGTCCAGGGGTAGGCAACTTTGACTCTTTTATGACTCGTGGACTTCAACTCCCAGAATTCCTGAGCCAGCATGGGGGAACTATGGCCCCTTCATGACTCGTGGGCTTCAACTCCCAGAATTCCTGAGCCAGCATGGGGGAACTATGGCCCCTTCATGACTCGTGGGCTTCAACTCCCAGAATTCCTGAGCCAGCATGGGGGAACTATGGCCCCTTCATGACTCGTGGACTTCAACTCCCAGAATTCCTGAGCCAGCATGGCTCAGCTTGGAAACCTCTCCCTTTCCCCTCAGCATAGCTGGCTCAGGAATTCTGGGAGTTGAAGTCCACGAGGCATAAAAGAGCCAAGGTTGCCTACCCTGGGCTAGTCAATAGCTTTATCAGAACTGTACAAAGTGTGAAAGTCTATTAGATAAACAAAAAAAAAATACAGCATACTTCATGGAAATGAATTTTTTTAATTGAATATCTGTCCTGTGTTCCCAGGAGGAACAGCGGTCGGAACAGTTTGTAAGAACACAATGGGAGAGAATCATGGATTTACAATTAATCCTTGACTTACGACCACAATTGAGCCTAAAATTTCCGTTGCTAAGCGAAGCAGATGTCAAGCGAGTTTTGCCCCATTTTAATGACCTTTCTTGCCCTTTTTGTTAAGTGAATCATTGCAGATGTCAAGCTAGTACCACGGCTGTTAAGTGAATCTGGCTTTTCCCCCATTGACTTTGAAGATCGCAAAAGGGGATCACATGACCCCCAGGACGCTGCGACCGTCGTAAATACGAGTCAGTTGCCCAAGCATCTGAATTTTGATCACGTGACCCCCCTGGGGATGCTGCAACGGTCATAAAAGTGTGGTGAAAAACAGTCCCTTTCCCAGTGCTGTTGTAACTTCAAACAATCCCTAAAGCAGTGTTTCTCAACCTTGACAATTTTAAGGCATGTGGACTTCAACTCCCAGAATTCCACAGCTGGCTGTGGAATTCTGGGAGTTGAAGTCCACATGCCTTAAAATTGTCAAGGTTGAGAAACCCTGCCCTAAAGGAATGGCTGGAAGTCCTTACGCCCACCTGTGTAAGGAAGCACAAGGATCCTCTAGTAGACTTCCTGTCTGAGCAGGGGGTTGGACTAGATGACCTCTAGGGTCCCTTCCATCTCTGTTATTCTGTTCTGTTCTGGTTGTAAGTGAGGAAAAACGGTCACAAATCCCTTTTTTTTCCAAGGCCATAGTAACTTTGAACAGTTACTAAAAGTGAATGGGTTGTAAGTTGTGTGGTCTGTATGTGGAGAAAAAGATCGGGAAGGGTTTGAATTAGACCCCCCCAAATAGCCTCGTCCCCCCCTTTGCCTCTCCCCAAAGGGCTGAATGAGTAAGAAGCGAGCAGACCCGCTTCAGTTGGGTCTGTTTAGTACCGAGATTTTAATTATTTAAAAAAAAAATTCCCTCAGTGTTGGTAAATGTTTTCCACGCATGATTTCTAAACACTCCACTGTTTTTTGTTTTTGTTCTGTTTCTCCAGAGTTTTCACATACCTGACGATGAATCCTGTCTACAGCCCCGTTCAGCCCGGGGCTCCGTACGGGAATCCTAAGAGCGTCGCCTATACAGGTAAAATTATTTACAAAAATTACACGTCGTGTTGTGATGTAGGCTTGCTCCAGAGAGCCATTGCAGAGGCAAGATTCCCGGCAGGGGTTGTTGTTTTCTCACCATGCCCTGCTTCTGTCTTTGTGAGAGAGCCGACAACAGCAGAAAAATCTCAGAGATCACCAAGGACCCCATAGTTGTCGTCGTCATCCTCCTCCTAAGACACACACACACACCCTTCTAGAACTGATGATGTTCCCTAGTTGGGTCATAAAACGTCTGCAAGAGAAGTACCAAACTTGGAGAGCACCAAGGACTCCATAGTCGTTCTCCTCCTCCCTTCCTCCCCTCCTCCTTCCCCATCCTCCTCCTCTCCAGAAACTCCCCTACTCCCTCCCTCCCTCCTTCTCTCCACAGACCCCACTCATAGTTACCTAGTTGGGTCAGGAAATGTCTGCAAGAGAACAACCAAGCTCAGAAAACAGCAAAGTCTCCTCCCTCTCCTCCTCCTCCTCCTCCGTTCCTCCCTCCCTCCTCCTCCTCCCTCCTCTCCACAAACCCCACTCTTTTCTAGCACTCCTCCTCCTCCTCCTCCTCCCCACATACACACCCCTTCTAGCACTGATGATGTTCTCTAGTTGGATCATGAAACGTCTGCAAAGAAACCACCAAATTCAGAGAGCACCAAGGACCCCACAGTCGTTCTTCTCCTCCTCCTCCTCCTCCTCCTCCTCCTCCTCCTCCTCCTCCTCCTCCCCACACCCCACCTCCCTTCTAGCACTGATGATGTTCCCTAGTTGGGTCATAAAATGTCTGCAAGAGAAGTGCCAAACTAGGAGAGCACCAAGGAGCCCACAGTTCTCCTCCTCCCTTCCTCCTCCTCCTTCCCCCTCCTCTCTCCAGAAACCCCACTCTTTTCTAGCACTCCTCCTCCTCCCCACACACCCCTCTCCCCTTCTAGCACTGATGATGTTCCCTAGTTGGGTCATGGAACGTCTGTAAAGAAATCACCAAATTCAGAGAGCACCAAGGACCCCACAGTCGTCGTCGTCGTCGTCGTCGTCCTCCTCCTCCTCCTCCTCCTCCTCCTCCTCCTCCTCCTTCAACTCCATCCCCTTCTAGCACTGATGATGTTACCTAGCTGGGTCATGAAATGTCTGCAAAGAAACCACCAAATTCAGAGAGCACCAAGGACCCCACAGTCGTTCTCCTCCTCCTCCTCCTCCTCCTCTTCCTCCTCCTCACACCCCACCTCCCTTCTAGCACTGATGATGTCCCCTAATTGGGTCATGAAACGTCTGCAAGAAACCCACCCAGCTCAGAGAAGCACCCAGGACCTTGATTTGCTCAATAAATGAGGTAAATCTTGGAAGGAATTTATTCATGTGGGCTGTACAACAGGGGCCTGTTTTTAAAGGAGTTTTAGTTTGTGATCCAGAGAAATTACACAGATGGAGGGAGGAGTGTGAGAGACCGGGGTAAGCAGAGAATGTTCCAGCAATAGAGAGCAGCACATGACAATAAAAGAATAAAAGAGCAGAGGCCATGTATTTTAATTTGTAACGCAGAAAAGCTTGAACTTTTGTACGTGGGTTTAATGTGGACAGAGATGGCTTTGAATAGTATTCTCTCCTTGACTTTTGCGTTGAAAAGAGAAAGAACATTCCGAGAAAAAGAATTTTCTCTCCCACATCATGAGCCATTTTCTTGCCTTTACCAATGAACGGGTGCGCTATAGGCATTCCTCAAGTTATGGCTGTTCATTTAGTGACTGTTCAGAGTCTACAGTTAGAAAGACAGATAAGAAAGACAGGTACACAGATAATGAATGAATAAATATGGATAGACATGGATAGATAGATGAATAAAAAGACATAAAGATACATAATGAATAGATATGAATAGACAGATATATAAATACGTATACTCATGTGTATATGCATATAGATAGATGATAGATATAGATAATAGATAAATTAGATGATACATGAAAGAGATGGATATAGATAGATATATAGATAGATAAATATATAGATATATAGATATATAGATAGATAAATAAATGATAGATGGGTAAATAGATGATAGATAATAGAGATAGGTAGATGATGGATGGATAGATAGATAGATAGATAGATAGATAGATAGATAAATAGATAGATAGATTGATGATAGATTGATGATAGATAGATAGATTGATAGATTGATGATAGATAGATAGATAGATAGATAGATAGATAGATAGATAGATAGATAGATAATTGATGCTTAGATAAATAGGTGATGGATTGATAGATGATAGAAGATATAGGTAGATGATGGATAGATAATGATAGATGAATAGATAGATGATAGATAAATGGATAGATAGATATAGACAGAGAGAGAGATAAATGATAGATAATTGATGCTTAGATAAATAGATGATAGATGGATTGATAGATAGAAGATAGATATAGGTAGATGATGGATAGGTAATGATAGATGGGTAGTTAAATAAATGATAGATGGGTAGATGGATAAATGATAGATTGATTGATTGATTGATTGATGATAGATAGATAGATAGATAGATAATTGATGCTTAGATAAATAGATGATGGATAGATAGATGATAGAAGATATAGGTAGATGATGGATAATGATAGATGAATAGATAGATGATAGATAGATAAATGGATAGATATAGATAGAGAGATAAATGATAGATAATAAATAGATGATAGATGGATAGATAGAAGATAGATATAGGTAGATGATGGATAGATAATGATAGATGGGTAGTTAAATAAATGATAGATGGGTAGATAGATAAATGATAGATAGATAGATAGATAGATAGATAGATAGATAGATAGATAGATAGATATAAATAGACATTGTCTTGTTGTTCAAAATAAAAGATGAGCCTTCAAAGATGAAAACCGAAAATGGGTTGAAAACGAATTGGACCTTAGGACAAATGTTGAGAACATTTATAAACATCAAAACTCTCCACGCCCTTCTGTACTTCCACGCGGACGCAGATTCTCATTCTGCGTTTTATATCCGCTCGGCTGCACCCGAGGCTTTCCACCCCATTCAAAAAAGCGATGCCCGCCTTAAGAGTCTCTCGCGCCCGACTAGTTTGAAGCTCAGCTCTGGGGTCTAGGGTGTTAAATCTCTGCCCCCCCTCTTTTTCCCATCTCTTTCAGCCAAGTCTCTGTGGAATATTCACCATTTTGGGCCCTAATCCTGTTGCCACGAATTTGCGGAGGGCCAAACGACAAATGTCGCTCTAATAGACTCCCCGGGGCCTCTATAGTATAATTTTAGCTTTTTGAATAACAGCCACAATCTGATCTGTTCTCCTTTACCGCCGAGAGTTGATATTAATTAAATGATTCTTGGGGGGGGGGGAATCAATGGAAGGAATTTGGAATTCTTTACCCGTAAATACCTTCCTATTTTTTCCTTGCCGTTGAGAAAATATATCCTTGAGGTCTCCGGAAAAGCGAGACTGCCATAATTGGAAGGAAAAAAACCACTCTCTAATATTTAGAGAGAGGCCAACATTAGATTCTTTGTCTGTCCAATGTACAGAAATATTTGTATTTATGATGAAATTTATTTGCCACCCAACTTGGGTCAAAGGATTCTGGGTGGTTTGCAGCATAAAAACATTAAAAAAACCAACAATATTAAAACAATGAAATGTATACAGGTAGTCCTCAGCTTCACGATCACAATCGTACCCCAAGTTTCCGTCGCGAAGTGAGACCTTTGTTAAGTGAACTTTGCCCTGTTTTACGACCTTGTTTTGCCACCGTTGTTAAGCGAATCGCTGCCGTTGTTAAGTTAGTCACACCGTCGTTAAGCGAATCGCTGCCGTTAAGTTAGTCACACCGCTGTTAAGCGAATCGCCGCCGTTGTTAAGTTAGTCACACCGTCGTTAAGCGAATCCGGCTTCCCCCATCGACTTTGCTTGTCAGAAGGTCACAAAAGGGGATTGCGTGATGCTGGGATTCTGCAACTGTCATAAGTACATGCCAGTGGCCAGGCGTCTGAATTTTGATCACATGACTGCGGGAGCGCTGAAACCGTCATAAATACGAGTCAGTTGCCTAGGGTCTCAATTTTGATCACGTGACTCTGAGGATGCTGCAACAGGGTGTGAAACGGTCCTCAGTCACTTTTTTCAGAGCCGTTGTAACTTCGAACGGTCACTAAACGGACTGTGCTAGTAAGACCAGACTTAAAAAAACATCCAGTTTTGGTCCCCACAATGTAAAAAAGATGTTGAGACTCTAGAAAGAGTACAGAGAAGAGCAACAAAGATGATCAGGGGACTGGAGGCTAAAACATATGAGGAACGGTTGATGGAATTGGGTATGTCTGGTTTAATGAAGAGAAGGACGAGGGGGGACAGGATAGCAGCCTTCCAGTATCTCAGGGGCTGCCCCCAAAAAGAGGGAGTCAAGCTATTCTCCAAAGCGCCAGAAGGCAGGACAAGAAGCAACGGATGGAAACTAACCAAAGAGAGAAGCAACCTAGAACTAAGAAGAAACTTCCTGACGGTTAGAACAATTAACCAGTGGAACCACCTGCCTCCAGAAGTTGTGAATGCTCCAACACTGGAAGTTTTTAAGAAGAGACTGGACAGCCATTTGTCCGAAATGGTATAGGGTTTCCTGCCTGAGCAGGGGGTTGGACTAGATGACCTTCCAACTTTCTTCTTCTTTCTTCTTCTTCTTCTTCTTCTTCTTCTTCTTCTTCTTCTTCTTCTTCTTCTTCTTCTTCTTCTTCTTCTTCTTCTTCTTCTTCTTCTTCTTCTTCTTCTTCTTCTTCTTCTTCTTCTTCTTCTCCTCCTCCTCCTCCTCCTCCTCCTCCTCCTCATCATCATCATCATCATCATCATCATCATCATCACCCAGTTGTGGTCCCCACGATACCAAAAAGATGCTGAGACCCTGGAAAGTGCAGAGAAGGGGTCTAGGACAAGCCGTTGTGGCCAAATCTCCCTTAGACCAGAGGTCACCAAC